GAAACCTCTCCACCATAGGTAAGCCTGGTAGCATTTTGCAACATGGTGGCAAAGCCTTCTCCCTCAGAGCAATACGTAAGCCACCACAGGATGACAAACTGACAGACACATTCATCTCCCTTAGTTGTTCCTAATCCCTGTGCACCTGCCTGAGGTAGACAGTTGAGCAACAGTGCTAGTCAGACCCTGTCCTTAATATAGAGCCACACCCAAGCAAAAAAGCAGCCTCCAAGCCCCCGGCCTGCCTACATCAGGCCCTGGCCTTAATATAGAGCCACACCCAAGTGAAAAGCAGCCTCCAAGCCCCCTGTGGGACAATATTATTAGTGCCCAATAAACGTGTGCTCATTGAAGACTTAACTGTTGAGTGGTCATTCATTTGGGTGTTATCAGGCCTGATAGGGGCTGAAGGTCCTGGGTGGTACAAGCAGTTTGTGCTTGACTGCTGGCCTAAAGCTTGGTTTGAACCCACTAATTGGCACCATGGAAGAAAAGCTTGGTGATCTGTAAAGATTACAGCCAAGAAAACCCTGTGGAGCAGTTCTACTCTGTAACACATGGAGTCTCCACGGATCGGAATCTATGCAAAGGCAAGAGGTTGGTTTGGTTTGGTTCGGTTAATAGGTGCTAGAGCTTAAAAGTTTAAAGCACCCCCTCATGTTGTGCCCCCTGGAGAGTCTAGAAGGGCCAGGCACAGGCTAGACATTGGTCTCTTGTCCAGCTCTCACATGTGTGAGAGGCGATTGAAAATACCACAGCTTGGGTTAGGCGCACCAACACTGTATTAGACAGTGTTTCAGGGTACTCATAAAGTTTTCCAGTAATATATCAGACAGTGTTTCACTGCTGTTCATAAGGTTTTCACACACCAATTCTTTGAGAAGTGGATGGCTTCTTCCTTCTTCCAAGTCTATCCTAGCCTGGAAGCTCTGCTGAGACCCATGTACCATGGGTGACCTGCTGGCATTTGAAATACCGGTGACATAGCCTCCAGCTTCACAGCAACATGCAAGCCACCAC